GAAGAGGGCATGATAATGCCTCTTACCCCTCAGGAGATTTGCCATGTGCCCTCAGATCCTCAAAACGTTCTACTGCTGCACCATTGAGAGCATCTTGACTGGCTGCAGCACCGCTTGGTATGGCAACTGCTAGGCATCCGACCGCAAGGCGCTACAGAGGGTAGTGCGTATGGCCCAGTACATCACTGGGGCTGAGCTCTCTGCCATCCAGGACCTCTATACCAGGCGGTGCAGAGGAAGGCCCTAAACATTTGCCAGTCACCCAAGTCATAGACTGTTCTCTCTGCTACCACACGACAAGCGGTACCGATGCACCAAGTCTGGAACCAACAGGACCCTGAACAGCTTCCACCCCCAAGCCATAAGACTGCTAAATAGTTAGTTAAATAGTTAACCAAATAGCTACAATCTGCATTGACCCTTCTTGCACTAACTTTTTTGACACATCACATATGCTGCTTCTACTATTTACTATCTGTCACTTTATTCCTAGTTGTATGTACATACAGTTGAAGTCGGAAGTTTACATACACCTTAGCCAAATCCATTTAAACTCAGTTTTTCACAATTCCTGACATTTAATCCTAGTAAAAATTCCCTGTTTTAGGTCAGTTAGGATCACCACTTGATATTAAAAATGTGAAATGTCAGAATAATAGTAGAGAGAATGATTTATTTCAGTTTTTATTTCTTTCCTCACATTTCCAGTAGGTCAGAAGTTTACATACACTCAATTAGTATTTGGTAGCATTGCCTTTGTATAAAACATTTCGGGTAGCCTTCCACAAGCTTCCCCCAATAAGTTGGGTCCATTCCTCCTGACAGAGTTGGTGTAACTGAGTCAGGTTTGTAGGCCTCCTTGCTCGCACACGCTTTTACAGTTCTGCCCACACATTTTCTATAGGATTGAGGTCAGGGCTTTGTAATGGCCACTCCAATACCTTGACTTTGTTGTCCTTAAGCCATTTTGCCACAACTTTGGAAGTATGCTTGGGGTCATTGTCCATTTGGAAGACCCATTTGCGACCAAGCTTTAACTTCCTGACTGATGTCTTGAGATGTTGCTTCAATATATCCACGTAATTTTCCTTCCTCATGATGCCATCTATTTTGTGAAGTGCACCAGTCCCTCCTGCAGCAAAGCACCACCACAGCATTATGCTACCACCCCCGTGCTTCACGGATGGGATGGTGTTCTTCGGCTTGCAAGCCCCCCCTTTTTCCTCCAAACATAACAATGGTCATTATGGCCAAACAGTTCTATTTTTGTTTCATCAGACCAGAGAAAATTTCTTCAAAAAGTACCATCTTTGTCCCCATCTGAAGTTGCAAACCGTAGCCTGGCTTTTTTGTGGCAGTTTTGGAGCAGTGGCTTCTTCCTTGCTGAGCGGCCTTTCAGGTTATGTCGATATAGGACTTGTTTTACTGTGGATATAGATACTTTTGTACCTGTTTCCTCCAGCATCTTCACAAGGTCCTTTACTGTTGTTCTGGGATTGAATTGCACTTTTCGCACAAAAGTACGTTCATCTTTAGGAGACAGAACGCTTCCTGAGCGGTATGACAGCTGTGTGGTCCCATGGTGTTTATACTTGCGTACTATTGTTTGTACAGATGAACGTGGTACCTTCAGGCGTTTGGAAATTGCTCCCAAGGATGAACCAGACTTGTGGAGGTCTACCATTTTTTTTCTGAGGTTCTTGGCTGATTTCTTTAGATTTTCCCATGATGTCAAGCAAAGAGGCACTGAGTTTGAAGGTAGGCCTTGAAATATATCCACAGGTACACCTCCAATTGACTCAAATTATGTCAATTAGCCTATCAGAAGCTTATAAAGCAATGACATCATTTTCTGGCTGTTTAAAGGTACAGTCAATTTAGTGTATTTAAACTTCTGACCCACTGGAATTGTGATCCTGTGAATTATAAGTGAAATAATCTGTCTGTAAACAATTGTTGGAAAAATTACTTGTGTCATGCTCAAAGTAGATGTCCTAACCGACTTGCCAAAACTATAGTTTGTTAACAAGAAATTTGTGGAGGTGTTGAAAAACGAGTTTTAATGACTCCAACCTAAGTGTATGTAAACTTCCGACTTCAACTGTATTTTGAGGAAATGAAGGCATAGATACATTTTTCAACCATTTTCCATGTTTTTAAATGACATACATAAAGGCTTTGCTTCAGGTCAAACAGATGGAAAAGGGGTCTTAGAAAACAAATACCAGAAAAAGTATTAAAAGGTATAAGAAATACATCAAAACACAATAATGTAGATGTACTGTAAAGACCCCTGCCAACTATATTTGCCTACTGTAAGGAAGTGAACGTTATTTATAATAAGGGATACATGGAGAAAATATATTTTACCTAAACCACCCCTGAACGCTTGAAAAAAATACAAGTGAACCTCCCCTATACCCAAAATAATAATTAAAACAAAGTGGATAGCCTTTACCCACACTTCCTGGACAGACCAGAACCTTAGATATTCAGTTTTAGAAACTGTTCTTCGTCCTGTAAGCATTACATGGCTACATGGGAATTGTGATTACACACTTCTTCGTCCTGTAAGTATTATATGGCTACGTGGGGATTTTGATAGCGCACAGGGCTGCGGGCCAGAAGGTTGTGGGTTCGCAGACCACCGTGGACAAGAGTAGGAGTGGAAAGGTCTCCTTTATAGTAAAAGCATTGCATGAATCTATCATAAAATTTTAACTCAACAACAGGGGGACCTTGCGTGCGCTGCAGGATTTTAATCCATGAAGGCGTATTGTGTTACTAATGGTTTTCATTGAGACTGTGGTCCCAGCTCTCTTCAGATCATTGACCAGGTCCTGCCATGTAGTTCTGGGCTGATCCCTCACCTTCCTCATGATCATTGATGCCCCACGAGGTGAGATCTTGCATGGAGCCCCAGACCGTGGGTGATTGACCGTCATCTTGAACTTCTTCCATTTTCTAATAATTGCGCCAACAGTTGTTGCCTTCCACAAATAGACAGGTATTTTCCTTTCCACAGTAGCAAGATCTTATCTATTTTTGCCAACTTTCTATTAAAATGTATTGTAGAAAGATCATTTCTTTATTTCGGGATATGAATACCGAGTATGTCCACTTCAACCCTACCATGCAGGCTCAGAATCTTGAGTGGGCGGTGCTGCTTTAGTGGGTCTCTGACTGCGTTTATCTTTCTGTCTTGGCTGCATATAGGCTATAATATAAATAATATGCCATTTAGCAGACGCTTTTATCCAAAGCGACTTACAGTCATGCGTGCATACATTTTTGTGTATGGGTGGTCCCGGGGATCGAACCCACTACCTTGGCGTTACAAGCGCCGTGCTCTACCAGCTGAGCTACAGAGGACTACTTGCAGTAGGCCTATAAAACAGATAAGGATTTCCTTAGTGTGTGGGTCGTTCAGGTGGGTCTAAGGTACAGGGTTGGGGACAGCTCCATCATGATAAGACAATAAATAAACTATATTTATAATCTATTTTAAAATGTATATCCCATTTCTGCACAAAATGTAAAGCTTTCTCTGTCACAACTCCTGCTCACAGACACACATTTTACTTAACTCCAGACTTTTCCAAACACAAGAAAACACATCTCACCTTCCGTCACAATACACCCGCACATACCCACATACTGTGTCTTCTATGTCCTCTGTTTGCTGTGTTTTATCCCTACCATGTTGATTCCTACCTAATTTCGGGCATTTTAAGTACTTTTGTGTTCCTTATATTTGAATATGTATTCTTTCAGTAATTCTCCTTTCTTCTAATGCTGTCTTTTATCTATTTATAAATACTATGAATAGAAAGTTGAATACTAATTATATGAATGGGATAGTGTATTTGTAGTTTATTTCTTTATCAATTGTTGTATTTTATTGTTTTCCTTTTTTGTTTTGTTTCTACAATCACATGGATGGTATTTAGTGTTCCATTAATGACTCCTCTATGGGAACTTTGTATTATTTAGAACAGCCATGGAGTAGACTTGGTGTCTCGGAACAGTTGGTTATCAATGTACAGTTTATCGACTACGAGAGCCAGGAGTGCAACTTTCACTGGGGACGGGGAGGACATTTTGAAATTGCATTTATGTCTCCCCCAGTTTTATCATTGGAATGTGATACAAAACAAGGCAACGGTGTACTTTAGGACCATGCAGACGCCTCCGAGCGGTCTGGTAGGCTGTTTGGAGTGTTTATCTGATTGAAAAAAATATATATATAAAAATAAAAAGAATGGGCCCCCCCACTTCTAAAACTAAAGTTGCACCCCTGACGAGAGCTACACGTTTCACTTTAAGTCTATTCACCTTAGGCATCCTGAGTGGCGCAGCGGTCTAAGGCACTGCATCTGGGTTCGGTCCCAGATGCAGTGCCGAATCTTAATTCGGAGCAGATATTTAAGAGTTTTTGGAAAACGTGGTCACATAAAAAACTGAGGGAGATTTTACCATAATTTTCTTACCAAACTTTGCATCTGCACAGTTCTTCCAGTAAATGTGTTTTGTGAAATGTTCTGTGTAAATTGTTCAAAGTAGTCCTTGTGCATAAAGTTGTATGGTTTGTTAAACTTTGTAATCAATGGTTTTTGTTTAGGATACATGCTAAAGTAAAAAGTCTCAGTGTAATTCTGTTACCGTGAAATTGTCCCTCTTCATCATGTAGCCCTGTCTTTTCTATTTTATATGCATATAATAGGACAATTTAACTATATTCCTTCCCCAGTTCCAAGAATATGACATAAAACTGAAACTATTAGCACATGGATTCTACATGCATGTCACAATGAGTGGGCTACAGAAAAGGTCATATGATTTGCTATAGATCATCCTGCTATAATAGATCCTACTTCTTACATCAAAATGGCCTACCTGAACATACTGTCTACAGTGCACTTGAAATTGCTTCAAACTGTCTTTTTCCCGTCATTTGTAGCAAGCTTCCAAACATTTACAGTAGCCATTAGAAAATGTATCACCTTTACCTTGTCATCTCCATGGTGTCCTTGGTAAGATAGACTATCCAATAGACCAGGTTGAAGGCCCCGAACGACAGAGGGAAGAGGATGCGTGAGTACTTGTCTATGATGCTGGTGCCTGTCAGTAAGTTGTTGGATGGCATGGCTGAGCCTTGCTGGAGGAAGGCCTGGGCATTCACTGGAGGGTTAGGGAACACCTCTGCTGGCCTCTCAAAGTGAGGCGTGGAGTTCATCCTCTTCTTCAGCATACTGCTGGCATCCTGTATAGTGCATAAAGGTGGGTGGAGGAGGTGAGTGAGAGAACAGGTCTGCACAGTAAATCTATGACCAGCACAACAGTAAGTCATTGGCAATTAAGATTAAAATAGGAAATCAATTGGGTTTTATTTTGGCATAATGCAGTTTTAATTGAACCCATTTCCTATAACAACACAGAGCCGTATGGCATATGCACAAAATCATAAAAGATACAGTCATTGATTCATTCATCAATACAACGTTTTATATTTAATAGCATTTGGCTACTGTAGTGCAGCAGAGTGACTGGAGCAGGGACTGAGGCAGGGTTGGGTGGTGTGGACTTGGGATGAGGGACTGAGGCAGGGTTGGGTGGTGTGGACTGGGGATGAGAGACTGAGGCAGGGTTGGGTGGTGTGGACTGGGGATGAGGGACTGAGGCAGGGTTGTGAGAGGTGGTGTGGGGTAGAGAGAGAGCGCTGGCACTGGTTTAACTGGCTTCCATCACAGAGCAGTTTGGAGCTGCAAATGTCAGCTGCTGAATGCTGTGTGAGTCCAACGGAGGTGAGAAATCACGCAGGGAGCATGCGGCTCATGCTGCTTTAATATTGCAGCTATTTCTGAAATGACAACAGGCTTGAATTCTCTGCTGGCTCTCAGGCTCAAATCCCACAATGATCAGAGCAAATTCTTATACAGTAGATACACTATATAACATTGTTTTGCATACTGACTTAATATCGCTAGAGCTTGATGGGATACCTCATGAAATGTCAATACCGCGTGATATTATTTTTTTTCATGAGATGAAAAATGCAGGATTTATAGTGCAACATAATACACAGGTTATCCTATCAATTTTGCTTGTGTCCTCTCTTTAATCCAATTTCACCAATCAGGTGAACAAATGGAGTGTTAGCATGCTGACACACAGCTAAATCAGTGTATAATATAAACAGTCCTTAGTATTCAGCTAAGGAAGAGCTGATAGACTCAGTCAACAACACCAAAATCCAGTCAACAACCAGTCAACCAGTTATAATCAGTCAACATCCTATCCAGTCAACATCTGGTCAACCAGTGATAACCTGTCAACATCTTAACCAGTCAACAACCAGTCAACCAGTCATAACCAGTCAACATCTTATCCAGTCAACAACCAGTCAACCAGTCATAAACAGTCAACATTTAAACAGGTCATTTAGATTTGGCTGCCTTTTAGAGAGATAGTAATTCAAAATGGTGACAGATGGCGAGATAGAGCTCCTCTCCGATTGACTATTTAGTAATTTTGTTACGTGAAAACCTACATGTAGGTCTTCATGTAGTTGGTGCAGCCACCTAATAATAGTATCTCTCCCACAGAAGCGCAAAGCATTGGGCTTGCCTTTCCCCTCCAGCATGAAGGCTTCTCGTGAGCCTCCAATGATCTGCCTGGATATTCCCTTAATCTATTCGTCTTACATAATCTGCTGCAACCGCGTTCATGAAGCCACTGGCTGTCTCTTCTCGTCAAATGCTCTTGTTATCATAGACTAGGAGGCGGGGGTTGAGAGGGACATAGAGATGGGAGGAAAGGGAAAGGGAGGGAGGAGTGTAAGATGAGGAGGGAGGGAGGAGGGGGGTGGATTACCGAAGAGGACTCCCCGTCGCTCCTCCCGGCCTCTGCAGCCTCCTGGGCTGCCTTGATGGCGGCCGCCTTGCGGAGCTCCCGGTTGGCCTGCAGCGTGGAGAAGTAGTTGACTGCGGCAAACTCGATGAGGGCTGAGAAAACGAAGGCGAAACATACAGCAATGAACCAGTCCATGGCCGTGGCGTAGGAAACCTTGGGCAAAGAGTGGCGGGCGCTGATGCTGAGTGTGGTCATGGTTAGCACAGTGGTAATGCCTGGGATACACAGGGCACATAGAGAGATGTTAGACAGAGATACTGGATAGAGGATACATTTTGTTGTCTGTCTCCCAGAGCCCCAGGGTTGACTGGCTGGGCTTCCAGGGTACCAGGCCCATCATCTTGTTGAGTGATTGTCAGGGCATGGAGTGGAGGGGGTTGGAGAGTCTGACAAGAAACCATCCAGTGGTTTGCGTTAAAGCTGTTTAATGTGAGCACACATGAGCTTACATGCAACGGAATCGCTTAAGGGGAAATGGTTAAGAGTCTATTCAAGCATGTCATTTGGCCTGAAAATGGTTATTTCTATGAACCCAATAGATCAAATCTTATCATATATTTTCAGAGAATGAAATTATTTCTGCCGTAATTCTCAAGACACTGATCTAACATTACTGAACATTTTGAGCAAAAATAGTGTCTTGGGTTCATCAGATTAGGCTGTCTCGTTAATAATAACGGAAGATACTGTAACAACTTCATCAATAGCAACCTACAAAATGAAGATTAGTATTGCATTACAGTGCACAAAATCCTCAGAGCCCATTGATAATTTAGATGGTAATTGATGCCCTACTTGGCCAGAGGGTGAATTTGTGGGCATGATGTTTAATCTCTAGCCTCATTTTCACACAAGTTCACAGGACTAGACATGCACTACTCAACCACTAACCTTGCTCTTACATTCAAAAATGGTGTGTCCAAGTTCAATGCTAAACACTTTGTCTTCATTGTCCTTTGGATGGAGGGTCATAATTGGTTTTTATACAAAGTTGATTATAATGTCTATCTCTCAGAAACCAATGTGCTCTGGTATTATTGATAAGTAATGATACTTGTATAGCTATAAAATATTTATCTTGGAGACTTGAGTAAACAAGTGGCCAGTGAAATGTAAAAAAGTATAATATTTTTTACTTTAAGAAAATCAATAGTTATTATGTCAAGTGTATTCGCTTTACCAATAGCGAGTCATACAGGATAACATATTCACCAACGTTTGGGTTTTCAAAGTAACACAGTGTACTCTTAGCATGATCTATTGATCCTGAGAGGCAGCAACCACAAAAATGGCTTAGTTTACTCACCCACAGCTTAGCCTTAACATCATTGCATGCAAACGCAGGAGTGGTAGGGCCTGTGCTAATACAGTATGTTCCTAACAGCATGCTTAAATCAACTTTAAGTCAGGTCATATAGGCATGCTCTTTGGAAACATGGTATCACAGGACTCGATTAGTGCACGCAACTATGCTAACACTAAGCTTAAGCTGAGGAAACTAAGCCATGTTTTTGGTTGCTGACTCTCAGGATCAATAGATGAATTGACTTTTATCCATATAAATGAGGTAAACTTTTCATTTGGGTCAACTTTTACTCTTCCTGTTATTACTTGGACACATCCATTTGAAATCACAGCAGGGTATTTCTTACTTGGTTCTAAAAGCAGAGGAGGGTTGGAGTAGATTAAGTTTGTCATACCAGCCACGGTGTTTACTGTTCATGGGTTGGCCTGTTTTTAGTGATGATGATGATAGTTCCAGAGCACCACAACTTCCATGGGTTAGAGTTAGACACATTGTGATCAATGGGATGCGGGTTGGAATGAGATGCCAGGGTAGTGTAGTTTCCTCTCAGGGAGACAATGGATGACTGAGTTGCAAGTAGGCCTGGAGGAGCAGGAGAGTAATGATGATGAGAAGGATGGCACACAGATGAATTGATGAAGGCTGTCCTGTCCACAGATTATATGAAGTAATTTACTGTGCTATACAGTGTGCACAAATGTCTTCTGAAATACTTTCTACTTGTATTGGATAAGGTTCATTGGACTGCCAAGTGACTTCACCGACAGGACTATCTAGACGTGCAGGAATTCACACTCTTATCTCCTCATAACATTGGGAAGAGACTAAACATATTCATAGATTACCAAAGTTTTCATAAACTACTTAACCTATATATCAAAATAAATGTATTGCGAATTTCAATCTGTATAACCTTTGGAGTTGCTTATTTGAAGTGGTTCACTGCAAGTTATGTTTCAAGGGAGTAAAAATGAATTGCCATTGATTGAGAGTGTTAAATAATATTATGGTCAGGCACCTCATCTGAGGCAGGGCTACTATGGAAATTGATTGGCTGCATTTGTTTATATTCACAAATTGGATCTTGTTCACAATAACAAACAACAATAGCAACAACAGGCAAAGCAATTGTGCCTCAATCCGTTGCATTTAACGTGTTAACAGATATCTGAGCAGTGAATAACACTGTGGAGATTCACAAATGCAAACAGATACATCGATACAATATGTGTTCATGGTAATAAATCTCATCACATTTATTCAATGCGAGTTTGAATCACTGGGCTCACACTATCGAGGCCCTTACAAGTCATTATTAATTCACAAAAGGGACATGCTCTATAATGGTCCATTAACAGGGTACAGCTATAATTTTCCAGAGATTGTTTTCATCAAGCTAAAACAGTCAAAAAGAAAAGGTCCATTGGCCACTGCCCTGCTATACTCTTATCAATTAGATATTTACACAGTTCATTTGCACAAGTGGGACATGTAAAGGGCACTTAAGTGGATGTAATCAGGTTTCACCGTATTTAAGCGCTGCTTCAGCTCTGAAAGCCAGTATACAACTCTTGATTAAGTTAGCTACAGTACCAACTCTCTATAAAACCCCCACCAATGGCCAACACTGCCTGTCAAACTCATGCACTTGTTAATCACACTGGGGAAGAGGGATATGGGAGAAATCGTGCCAGGAAATAAAGCAGAGGAGGCCAGAGAAAGAGAGAGAGAGGGAGGAAGAGGAGGAGAAAGAAAATGAAGGGGAAAGAAATGAAGAGCTTGAGGCATCCGTGTGCTTTTAAAGGATAAACGCAAGGTACAAATTAGGCCCACTCAATTAAGTCTGTGGAACTTCAACTCTGGGGACTTTCAGCTCTTAGAGTCATATTGGAAAATCCAATATGTTTTATGCAACAGCCTCCTAAAGGACACACCATGTTCACACTAAAAACACTCGCTCCCCCGCTACTGTGTGAAATGAAAGCAGTGGGATGTGGGAGGTTAATGACTTTCCGCATATGTGCGTTTCACGTGGGGCCCAACTTGAACGCGTACTAATGATTGGTATCTTTCACTTCTGTGTGGGCTTTTCAAAATGCTGACGAGCTTCCAAACAGAGCCATAATCTACAAAGGCTGCTACTCCTGCTCATGAAAATGTAACTGAGGAAATTAAAATTGAAAATCCAATGTATGGCAAATTAAACTTAGGAGCTCCATGCTCCCGAGGCTAGAGGCTGAAACAAGTGTTGCATGATGTAATGGGAACAAGCGGAACCTGCAAGTCCTCGGAACGAGTCCAAGTAAACAGCATCACCCCCCCAACCCTCTCGGTAGGACCGATTTCAGAGTAGGAGTTATTTACTATTAATTCAGCTCCACCACTTTGGAGAAAATAAAGATCATGAGGTAGAAGGAGTAAGAGCTACCGCCTTTTATCTCTAGTACCACTCCACTAAGTGAAGCACTCCATAGAATGCAAGCTATTACCAAGTTCTGCCAAAAAAGCACATTAAAATACTATATCTTCACCCAATCTACATAAAAGGATACAGAATAGATCATGCAATGAGTGGTGAATTGGTATTATCCAGCTTGGTTGTTTTGTTATCTTAAATATGCTCTATTGTATCACTCCAAAGGAACTTCAACTTATAATGTGACCTTTAGGGGTAACCTTGCAACATGTAAGCATGGTGGACAAGCCAATCAAGACATGGAGGGAGTAATGGTGGAGATCAGGAGGCCTACCAAATACAGTTCGAGCAGGAACCGATTCCTTATTGATCCAAAAAGAGACCTGAGCCAGGATCACCGTCATGATACAGGGGATGTATGTCTGAATCAAGAAGAAGCCCATCTTCCTTTGCAGGTGGAAGTGAACAGTCATGATTACATATTCACCTGTCAGAAAACAAATTACATTTCTGTCTGTGACGCAGAGAGTTTGTAACAGACACGTTGTTAAATCAGCAATTCACAGGGCACAATACTGGTTTGTGTTACAGATAACAGATCAGACATCGAGCATCATGGGGGAGACATCTTGCATACAGTACATGCATACTGTAGCACATGTCAAATACCCCAGTTTGAATGTGTACCAAACAAGCGGAGATTCAGATGAAAATTCAATTTAGAATTAAAACATGTATTTAGATTGAAATCATGCAAAGCCATATGCATACAGGATGCATACTGTTAGTTAGCATAGTTATATTTGTAGGCCTATTTCTGTAAGCATTACTAAAGCATTGAGTGAATGAATACATTCTTACCTGTGTTGGATTTTAACCTCTCACTGGACACAGTCTGTCCTATTAGATCGTACTGTAGCAAGCTGGAGGACTCCTCTGGTACTTCCACAGAAAACAGTGGTCCTTTTTTCCATGTGTACACAATTTCACTCATGGGGTAGGCATCTGGACAGCAGAAATAAAGATTCTGTAGTCAGTCTGTAATCACCAGCTAGCCTGGTGGAACCATCTGTCTGACTAAGGCTTATCAAGACAACTTACAGCTACCAAACTTGAGAGGACAGGCATGGCCGTCCATGGGGAAGTTCATCAGTCGCATGGGACACTCTGCATTTATAGTCAATCTGCAATGGAATGGCAAAGAGTATTGGACACACCTTATGTACAGTAGTAATGCTCACCTATGATCATATATAACTAATCACACCAGCATACAGTAGGTAGTACCATCTTTTGAAAACAAAGCAATACTCATAGAAATATGCCTGGTCAAGTTTGTGTGTATTGCACAAATAGCTCAACCATACCCATGATTGTATGATACTCAGATTGGCCAGTAGAACACAGAGTACTACGCAGGTCTATTCTGGACCTGGATGGCTGTGTGACTCATTAGTACCTCATGGTGTAGAGGATAGTTCCGTTCTGCATGATGCGGAACAGCTTGTTGGGAGTGGTCATGTTGTGAGAGATGGACCTCTTGCCATTCCGGAAGAATGTGTCTGGTGTCCAGATCTTGCTGACCATGAGGTTGTTGAGCCGCAGAATCTCGATGGGGCCCTCGAATTTCAACCTCTGGTCAATCCACGTTTGACGGAAAAATACATCCATGGTGTACTCCTACAACATGGTAGTTTGGAAATCAAATCAGCAATCAATTAATATGCAAATTATGGCATATACTGTACAGTACGAACAGCATATCAGTGACCTCATTTTCTTTTTATCAAATGTCAGTAATAGGTAAACGTATTTAATTTATGCAAATGAAGAGTTTATTTTTCACGTTTGTGTTTTTTTTCCCAGAAATGATTGCTTATGGATACCTTCATGTGTTTAAATATTACTGTTCTCAGATTTTTTATTAATAGATTTTAGGTGTGTATTAAATGTAGCTTTTTTTGCTAAACGCTATATATCAATTGTTTAGCTGGAATGGAATGTTTGTATACTGTATATTTGACTGTGATATGTGGTTGTCTCACCTAGCTATCTTAAGATGAATGGACTAACTGTAAGTCGCTTTTATAAGAGCATCTGCTTAATGACTAAAATGTCAAATGTAAATGTTTTCTCATATTACAGCATTGATTAATGTTTAATATTTTTTTATATTGATGTCACAAATCTATGATTTGTACAGTTATTTATAGAAAAATGTAGTTATTTGATACATTTGACTGTGTAAAACCTAGTAGTACTACTTATTTCTCAAAGAGTGAGGCGGATATATAGCGTTTTGCAAAAAACTATGATTATTTGTCTCTGAAATGAAACCATCAAGTGATAGATTTCAAACAAATACATGTCTGTCATTGAACAAACCCATGCCATGATTAGATAGTGAAAAAACACAACAAGTTCTTTAATCAATAAAAGTTAATTTACCAATATTTCAGAAAATGGATATATAGTGTTTTGGAAAGAAACTTCATATTTTAAAGTATCCCCTCTGTGTTGTTTGTGATCTGTTTAATTACTGTGCATGTCCATATTTCTCAACTCCTCTACATGAAAACAAATGACCGAAGATCCAAACGGTAACCATGGATATGGCTTTTTCAATCCGGGAATGCTTTTAGATGAAATGGATGGCTTTACTGTTCTGAAGGGTCTTATCTATACTGCCTGTAATATCACATGGTATAGTCTGTAAAGGAAATAAAACACTCAGCAGGCTGGGGACCCTCACTGACAGAGATTGACAACCAGATTAAAATCTCTAAGCTGCATTAATGACATTCTGCCCAAATGCCAGAATAATGAAGGCTGGTAGGAACATGACTTGAGACTGTGGAGGGACATGCTAGGACTGAGAGCAACAAGCAATTATCTGTCTGTAATAACACAAGTGTGTATTAAACTATCCATAAATGGCAACACTGGAGTTTTGTGTTATTGAAGTGGACTGGATAAAGTAGTAATGCGGCCACATACCATCTCAACATCTGACACTGGACCAAAGCTGGTTACAAAGATGTCTGTTTTGACCTCAGTAACTGGACCTACAAAGATAAGTGTTGTTTTGGCATAAGACATAGCTAAATAAACATACATCTTCACTCTAAAAACAAAAGGAAGCATGTAAGATATCGACAAGATAAAACACGATGTTATTGTTAATGATATCCCATTGCCAGTTTACAGTTACTAGACCTGTAGAAGTGTTGGATATTCCTCTCACAAGTCAGCACAATAACATCCCTTAGTATGATTGGCCGTTTGTATGAAAGAGACCTTGAGGTCAGTGGGTAAATGAATTGCCTGGACACTCTAGGGCACAAATTCGACAGTTATATTAAGTGCACCAAAAGCAGCTTCCAACGATCGGATAGTGACCAAGAATTAGGGTATATCCGGAACATAAGTGCCTCAGCACTGTGGAAAGTACAACTTGATCTACTGAGTGAGAAGACTGGAATTTAACACCTTATCAAACAACCTGTTAGAATTCTAAAATGTGCATTACTGTACCTCCAAATCCAGGTCGCAGTCGGTTGTCATATCCATCTAGTAATCCATCCAATATACGCGTGATGTTATCCAAATAGATATTCCCATCAGTCTCTGTCGATTTCGGATTATTTCCCCAAACATTGATCACACTGTAAACAAAGTACATCTTCATTATCTGGTGTCTTATTCTACTCGGTACAACTTGTTACTGCATCAAAGTTGCATAATTTACATCGATCAACATCCTAACATGGTAAAGTCGGAGAAGAATAGTTAACTTGTACTCACCAGGACAGAAAAAAGAAAGTGAAAACGAAAGCCATGCCTCATAAACACTTCACAGCCTAAAAGCCCTGGTCAACTGTTGTAATTTGCATATTCCATCATTTAAAACCATTTAAAACACCGATCACACGGCTTAGTGTAAAGCGCGAGGGTTTTTGCGCCAGTCCTGCTCTACTTCCCCAGTGCGGTTGCGCCTCATCTGACTCGCTCAGTTGAAAAACTAAAGAGTTTTAAGAGACTGAAGAGCAGGGACGGAGGGCATTGACAATAATCGAATAAGGCATTATGGGACATTAGAAGGAAGAAATCAACTGATAGTTTTGGCAGGGAATTAGCAAGGACCGGTTTGGAGATTTGGAAAAGGCTCAAATGTCCTGCTGCAAGAGATTACACCAGAGATGGTTTACATTTTTGTAGTGGAGAGCATTCTACAGATGTTAATTCATAACAAAGTTGAGGAGATAACAGTTTGACCTTGGTCAAACAGCTTTTTCCATTAGCTGTAACAGTCTGTGTATGCTTGTTCAAATCTTCTGCATGGGTTAGCAAATAAATACAAAGCAGATAAACCTAGGATGGTGTATGTGATTGTGCTGGTGGTGGTGGTGGCAAGGCAGGAGTAGGAGGGGGTTTGCTGGCTGGCTGGCTCCAAACTCTCACTGACCTGCAGTGACATTGTCCAAGTCAGTTCATTTTGGATTTGTCACAAATTTGACTGTTACAAAAAAAAGTATTACTTGTTTTATACCACTTAGATAGAATCATAGCTGTATGGACACATTTATTCTGACAAGTACAGTAACAGTTGGTCTCATTTCAAATTGGGGAATATTTAATACAGAACAAAGGCAAATGTGAGAACACAGTGTTTTGTGCAGTCAAATATGATATGCTATTTAGTTCAAATAAGTTCTCTGCCACAATCTCTACTTAGATTTTCTGTTAACATTTGAGACATATTTTGTTCTTATCTTCTACTGTTTTAGTCTGTACAAAACATGGAAGACAGATTTTAATGTTTACATAACATTTAACTTTTACATAACATATTCACCATATTTATAATCTATCTGACGGACATACATCTTTTCTAAAAAAGCATGAAAAGTGTTATAAATGATTTATGCAATGAATCCCCACAATCCTAGTCTCATTTTACTCAATATGTAAGTTATATAATGTTCTAAATGCACTTTGAACGGTGTACACCCACCTCATCTTCTTCAAGATGTGGTGCAGTGGGTAATGCTGTGGCTATGTAGACATGATAAAACGTGTTAAATGGGGGCGGTCAAGGAAATAGTCATGATAATATACACTGAGTGTACAAAACATTAGGAATACCTTCCTAATATAGAGTTGCACCCCCTTTTGCCCTCAGAACAGCCTCAATTTGTCGGGGCATGGACTACAAGGTGCCAAAAGCATTACACAGGGATGCTGGCCAATGTTGCTTCCCACAATTGTGTCAAATTGGCTCGATGTCCTTTGGGTGATGGACCATTCATGATACACACGGAAAACTGTAGAGCATGAAAATCCCAGCAGCGTTGCAATTCTTGATACATTCAAACCGGTGCGCCTGGCACCTACTACCATACCCTGTTCAAAGGCACTAAAATATTTTGTCGTGGCCATTCACAATCTGAAAGGCACACATACACAATCCATGTCTCTATTGTCTCAAGGCTTAAAAATCCTTCTTTAAATTGTCTCCTCCCCTTCATCTACACTGATTGAAATGGATTTAACAGGTGACATCAATAAGAGATCATAGCTTTCACCTGGTCAGTCTATGTTATGGAAAAAGCAGGTGTTCCTAATGTTCTATACACTCAGTGTATGTTTGTATGACAATAATATAGTTGTTTTAATCATAGTAAGGACCTGGAGGCTTACGTTAGCTCCCCAAGCTAATGCCTAGGCTTTAGCTCCACAGGCTAACACAGTGTTGTGGCATGCAGGAGACCTGAGTTTGACCGTAGGAAGGTCACATGGTCAGCAAAAACTCCTGGCTCTGGTGATAGCAGCAGAAGCACTGTTAGTGATAGTAGTGACAGTTATGATAATGATGGTGGTTCTGTGTGGCTCAGTTGGTAGAGCATGGTGCTTGCAATGCCAGGGTTGTGGGTTCAATTCCTATGGGGGGCTGGCAGTATCATAATTGATGCACTCACTACTGTAAGTCGCTCTGGATGAGAGTGTCTGTAGAAATGATGGCAGCAAGGGCAGTGGTTGAATCAACATTATAGTAAACATTACTGTGTAATATGATTCATTTAGCATTAATGGAAGCCATGCTCTGAGCCAAGATGCCTTTTAGGAAGGGAGCTTATTTCAGATTTCACTGGTGTGAATCTGCTTGGCATGCTAGGTAATGCCACCATTGAAATGACACAGGGCCATTACCCTAATCCACCTCCATGGCAGTGAGGTTTAAGCACTGTGCAATGGGCACAGCATTATTCATCACATGAGCCATGTCATCCATTATGGGACTAGGGGTCTGTTCAGGAGGCAATACAGCAGGGGCTTCAACCACATATCATTAAGAAGAGGTAGAACCATGACCATCATATCTCTGTTGAAGCGGCCGAGGCGTGTTCTCTGGCCGACACACACACACACACACACACACACACACACACACACATGATGGTGACCCAGAGTGCACTGATGCAGAGATAGATATGGTGATTTTTAAGCTGTGCTGGTCTTTGGAGCATCATCTCTGTCATAAAGTGCCAAATGGTCAGAGATAGTGCCACTGAAAGGCATTTTGGCCCACAAGTGGAGCCTAATTGCTAATTGTCCAAATACAATATATCCTACTCTGGGAAGCATTCATTCTAGTTCATTACATTTAATATGCATTGTTTGAATAAAAGGTATCACTGGATCGTTGAACAGATCACTTGAATCTTAAGAGTTGCACTGCGTACATGTTAATAATGATAATAATGGATTATATTAACATTGTGCATTATACAGCTCTCAAAGCACTTTATATTGCACAGGGGTAACTTGAGGGGTAACTACACCCATCACCAATGTTTATTTCTGCACTGTAGCCATTTCGAGCCAGGATATCGCACATATCAACAGGTGAGGGTTTTCCATTCCATTTTTGAAGATACAAATATTTTACATGACTTGTGTCATAACTGAGTCACTCCAGAGATGACAAACTGACCTTCATTAAGCTTCTGACAATGTCTGAGTGTTCGCACATAACTCTTGATTTTGAAGTATTTTAATTCAATCAAGCAGCTTTCTCAGTGCCTTGCAGTTTCTTGCTTCACAGAAACATTTTTATAACTCCCTGACCTTTGTAAAAGAGACCTTTGCCAAATTGCCTGGGAAAATAGAACATTTGATACTTTGTTTTGGTCAGTACAACAACTTCTGTTGTGGGCATACTCAGCATCTCCAGGGGGAAAAATCACATATTTATACAATGAAATGTTATTGTTCATAATTGTGGAATGGAATGAAGGAAAACTTTATTCACCCCATCAACTTCAGTAGTGTACATTTCAACAGCATGGTCAGAAACACAACTCTAACATACCCTAGTAAGGCAACCAACTGCAATTGAAACTTCAGCACCATGGACAGTGGCATAATCCTACAGACCTAAGTAAGGCAGTTTTAAAACTTCAGCACCATGGCCAGCAGCAGAAGGTTAGCTAGTGCTGTGGTGTACTAAGAGGCAGTCAAAGCATTTCATGAGTTTAATAAAAGCTAGTAAAAGACCAGACTGAGGAGCAGGCCCTTCTCCACTAAACTACAGTACCCAGCTTGTGACCCAGTGAATGTCCTATTTTACAGCCAGCTATTCTGGGACATGTTCTTGTCATTGACTGTTAGTCTCTTTCAATACTAATTACAGTGGCTTGCGAAAGTATTCACCACCCTTGGCATTTTTCTTATTTTGTTGCCTTACCTGGAATTAAAATGGATTTATGGGGGGTCTGTATCATTTGATTTACACAACATGCCTACCACTTTGAAGATAACAAACAAGAAATATGACAAAAAAACAGAAAACTTGAGCGTGCATAACCATTCACCCCCCCCAAAGTCAATACTTTGTAGAGCCACCTTTTGCAGCAATTACATCTGCAAGTCTCTTGGGGTATATCTCTATAAGCTTGGCACATCTAGCCACTGGGATTTATGCCCATTCTTCAAGGCAAAACTGCTCCAGCTCCTTCAAGTTGGATGGGTTCCGCTGGTGTACAGCAATCCTTAAGTCATACAACAGATTCTCAATTGGATTGAGGTCTGGGCTTTGACTAGGCCATTCCAAGACATTTAAATGTTTCCCCTTAAACCACTCGAGTGTTGCTTTAGCAGTATGCTTAGGGTCATTGTCCTGCTGGAAGGTGAACCTCCGTCCCAGTCTCAAATCTCTGGAAGACTGAAACAGGTTTCCCTCAAGAATTTCCCTGTATTTAGCGCCATCCATCACTCCTTCAATTCTGACCAGTTTCCCAGTCAGTGCCGATGAAAAACATCCCCACAGCATGATGCTGCCACCACCATGCTTCACTGTGGGGATGGTGTTCTTGGGGTGATGAGAGGTGTTGGGTTTGCGCCAGACATAGCGTTTTCCTTGATGGCCAAAAAGCTCAATTTTAGTCTCATCTGACCAGAATACCTTCTTCCATATGTTTGGGGAGTCTCCCACATGGCGAAAACCAAACGTGTTTAATTCTTTTTTTCTTTAAGCAATGGCTTTTTTCTGGCCACTCTTCTGTAAAGCCCAGCTCTGTGGAGTGTACGGCTTAAAGTGGTCCTATGGACAGATACTCAAATCTCCGCTGTGGAGCTTTGCAGCTCCTTCAGGGTTATCTTTGGTCTCTTTGTTGCCTCTCTGAGTAATGCCCTCCTTGCCTGGTCCCTGAGTTTTGGTGGGCGGCCCTCTCATAGCAGGTCTGTTGTGGTGCCATATTCTTTCCATTTTTTAATAATGGATTTAATGGTGCTCTGTGGGATGTTCAAAGTTTCTGATATTTTTTTATAACCCAACCCTGATCTGTACTTCTCCACAACTTTGTCCTTGACCTGTTTGGAGAGCACCTTGGTCTTCATGGTGCCGCTTGCTTGGTGGTGCCCCTTGCTTAGGGGTGTTGCAGACTCTGGGGCCTTTCAGAACAGGTGTATATATATTGAGATCATGTGACAGATCATGTGACACTTAGATTGCACACAGGTGGACTTTTTTTTAACTAATTATGTGACTTCTGAAGGTAATTGGTTGCAACAGATCTTATTTAGGGGCTTCATAGCAAAGGGGGTGAATACATATGCACGCACCACTTTGCCGT